CCTGTTCCTGATCACCAAGCTCCGCTGTGGCTCCCAGAGACGGCACCCAGGGAGGCTCTATGTTGCTGTCCTGCTCAACATCATTGTCTTCTTTGCTTTCGGCATTCCTTTCTGCATGGATGTTTTCCTCCATCTTCCCAGTTCAGGGGATTTATTCCCTGAAAATGACATCCCTCTGCTGCTGGCATTGCTGGACTGCTGCCTGAACCCTGTGATTTACGTCCTGGTGGGGAGCTGCCGGCGGCGCCGCTTCCATCGCTCCGTCAAAGTTGCGCTCCGACGTGCCTTTGAAGAGAAAGCTGGGAACGAGGATAGGAGTCACGTGTGTTTGGACACTGTGGTGGAGGTGACTTCTCTGTAAGGCACTGCTGGTGAGGTGACCTGGAGATGTGGCACCTCACAGCCAGCCAGAAGTGTGGGGGCTTGGGGGCACGTGGCTCAGAGCCAGGGTAGCTGGGCTCAGTCCTGTTCCCTGGCTGTATTTCCCTGGAATGACCCTTCCTGCCCCATTCCCAGGGAATAAACTCTGTCTCCTTGGGCTCAGCAGATGAGTTTCATGGTGTTTTGTGGATCTCTTGGCTGGAGAGGGTGTGACATAGTAAGCCCTGGGGATATATCCAGCGCAGGACGGTGGTGATTTCACAGGTCTCTTTGGGGCTGACACCTCTAGATGGCAGGAGAGGGGTTGGGATCGCACGGAACACCCTTCCCTTTCTGTCCCAAGAGCAGATCGGCAGAGCCGGCTCTGCATTCCCGACTTCTGGGAAAGGAAACAACCCTACACCAGGCAGGGCTGCAGATCTGGGGAAGGAACTACAACATTCCCTTGCACTTTAAGTGGGAATTTGTCCGATTCTTTAATTCTAGAACTAAATCATTCTGAGTAAAGTGTAGATTCACTAGTGCTGGGGAATTAGAAGAGGTATGTTCCTGGTACTCATGTTCACACCAGTAAGTTGTTGCCCCCGGGAATCTGTGGATGATCCATCCCTGGAAGTGTTCCAGGTCGGGTTGGGCAGGGCTTGCAGCAACCTGGTCTAGTGGAAGATGTCCCTGCCCACGGCAAGGAGTTGGAACTGGATGAGTTTTAAGGTCCCTTCCACCCAAACCACTGTGTCATTCTGTGAGATAACACAGAGCAGCTGAGAATGTCTGATGCCAAATATCACCTCTCTGATGCCAGAGAGCGGCACAGCTGGCAAATGCCAGCTCTGGCACAGATCACAAAACCCTCTCCAGACTCGGCTCCCAACCATGCCGTGAAGCAAGGCAGGGGATCACCGGATCAGATGGGCTTGGCAAGCTGCACACACTAATTCCTGTGCTCTCTGTGCTCACACCAATTCCACTGAACACACCTTTGCACCCATGACCAAAAAGAGCTTGAAATATGGAAATTGACAGAAGCAGATGCTTGGACCACTTAAATTTTTAGAAATTAGGGGGGTTACACTGCTATTCTGCAGAATGGGGTAATCCTTTAATTCCCTGGCATCAATATGAAGAGGAAGCCATTCGCCACTTCCATCCTGAACCTGGCCACCCTCAGGAGGACCTGAACAGCAACTCTGCACAGTGGCTTTAATGACTAATCAAAATCCTGGTTGTACCAATCTTTCTCGCTTTGCTACTGCTGCTGAATAAAATTTGTATTTCTTTCTTGTTTGTTTCCAACATGGTAACTCTGACCCCGAAATTTGTTAAATAAACAGCGTCTGGGCTTTGCTGCAGAGCTTGTTGCTGGTGAACAGAACAAGGCTGACTCAGTGTCAGAAAATGGCTCATTTCCTCTATTTCTTCTCATTCTAAAGCCTCTAAAGCCTATCCTTCAGATCCTTTATTTCAGCAAGGGCCGACAGACATGGAGGGGAGAGAGAAGCAGGGAAAGCACTGCCACTGCCCCTCTACCCAGAGAATTCCTGAGCTAGGCTACAGGGATTGAGTCCTCATCGCCTCAACAGGCTCTTTTCCATGAAAGATCCAGTTCTCCTTTTCCTTCCCTCTCCCTGTATCCTCCTTCACATAGAAAATCTCACCTTTGCTGAGTCTCCAGTCAGAGCTCATTTAATTTTAACCCTGCTCCTGTTGTTTTTCCCAGATGAGGAACAGACTCTCCAGAAGTGGAGCCAGCCCTCAGGTCATGGTTGTGACACTCTGCTCAAGCTAAAACCATCCAGACAGCCCAGAGAAAAGTGGGAGGATCCACAGGAGGCAGTTCCAGCCCCAAACCCTTGTGTGCAGACAGGCCACATGATGTGCAGACCAAACTCAGTGTGCAGCAGGAGCGATGCGCTTTTGGGGAGAACCTTGCAGAGGGGATCCCAAACACACATTCCTACTGCCCCGATAACAAAGCTGAATGTGAAGTCTCCACATAGTATCCCCATGTGTCAGGACCTGCTGGTCAGGAATTGTCCGGGAATTGTCCAGGAATTGTTCTGCACTGCTGTGCCAAGATATCCACCTGCACTCTGTTTTTAAGCAGACACACCAAAAAACCCCACTGGCAGGAACTCTGAACCTTGGTGACTTGGTTTTAATAGTCCACAGGGTAGAGAAGCTCAGTTTTGAGACAGGGAAAGCTCAGACCTGTTGAATAGGAAAGATTCAAAGCAGATTTCAAAGCAACAAGTTTCATGAGTGTCCCTGCCCATGGTAGGGGGTTTGGAACTCAATGATCTGTAAAATTCCTCCCAATCCAAACCACTCTGTGATGATTCTATGATTATTCATCACATCATCCAGCATCCACCCCAGGCAGGAATTCCCCTTCCACCCACCACATTTCCTTGTGCTGCAGTTAATTCCGCTCAGCTACAGCTAGACCCACACCAGGATTGCCCCAGGACACCTCCATCCCCAGAGCATCTCAGAATCATAGAATTGGGGTGGCAGGGGTTTAAACAGCTGGTTTAGGGTGGATATTAGGAAAAGGTTCTTTACCAGAAGGTGATCAGGCACTGGGAACAGGGTACCCAGGGAGCCTGACAGAGCTCAAGGAGCATTTGGACACACTCTCAGGCACATGGTGGGATTGTTGGAGTTGTCCTGTACAGGGCCAGGAGTTGGACTCAATGATCCTCATGGGTCCTTTCTAACTCAGGATATTTTATGATTCTATTTTATGATTATTTCATTTTATGATGATTCCACTGTGTTGTCTCTATTTTGAGGCTCTGACACATCTTCAAAAGTCCTCTGGAAGGCAGCACTAACAGAGAGTGTAAACTTCTTTGCACAGCTCCCAGCCAAGAAGTAAATAAGAGGGTGGACGCTGCTGTTGGCACAGGCGAGCGGGAGGGAGGCGTTGAGGACAAAGATGGAAAAATCAAACACCCTGAGCAAGAGCCAGTACCCAAAATCAGCAGTGAAGAAGGGGAAGAAGATGACAGCCAGAAGGACCACAGCACAGAGCTTCCTTGGAGGATGTTTCCGTGAGCAGCACAGGAAAACAAGCAGGGTTAGACCAGAGCAGATCAGGGTGAGCACCGATAAGAGGTAGCTCAGGACGAAGGCGATGAGTGCTGAAGGGTGGGAGTAGAGGGTCATGGTGAGCAGGAAGGAGAGGACCCAGAGCAGGGCACACAGGAGCACTGGGAAGCACTGGGAGTGGTGGCAGGGACAGTGGGACATGGGGAGGACAGACAGAGCTGTCACAGCACTGAAGGCTGTCAGCAGGTAGACACTGGCAGTGAAGGCAAACAGGATGGTGATGTTCAGCACAGTTGTCACTCCCCGTGAGCCCAGCTCATGACAGAGGCTCTCGGGTACATAAAATATCCCCAGACTGACGGTGATGGAGAGGAGGAAGGTGAAGTCAGCCATGGCCAGGTTGAGGATGAAGATGGTGACGGGGTTCCTGTGGATGTGGAAGCCGAGGAGCCAGAGGACAGCCCCATTCCCAACCATCCCACAGAGGCAGATGAGGAGCGTGACAGGGACTTTGCTCAAGTGGCTGCTTTCACAGTCGGTCCAGTTGTAGGGGTTGTCCTCACTCCAGCTCCTGTTAGATGCCATCCCACTGGATTGGCTCCAGCAAGCAGGGCTGACTCTTTCTGTGGCAAAGGACGTGTCCATTGTGACACCTCTGCTGCTTCTCCTTCCACTCACACAGCTGGAGGGGTGAGAAACACAGACATGTAAGCAACACTGTCCACCATACGTGGCTTTTCCCATTTTGTCCCATGCCCCAACTTCCACATGGGGGAGTACAGAGAGAGGTGAGGGACAGGACAAATGGAAAATAGGATGTGGGATGTGGATATGGACATGCCTGGCACAAAAGCCAGGGATATGCCTCCTTCCTGGATTTGGACAGGACAGATCTGGAGGAGGAAAATAATTGAAGAAGGACATCTTTGGAGATACCAAAGAACGAGAGGCTTTGGGGTGGGTCTGATCTGGATTCTCAGGCATCTAATATTGTAGTTGATATCATTGACCTGCTGGGTTCCTTCAGCAGGACACTCATTTCAGTATCCTCCCTCCCCCCCACCTTTTTCCATAATATTTATAGGCCTTAATACCCTACAGACTGCTATTCCCCAATCAGATTTGGTGAAAATCGATGACCAGGTTCCACACCAGTGGGGGGGGGGGACACACTGATTAAGCCGAAAAAACCCACCCAGAAGAGTCTGACCTTCTTTCCTCTCGCAGCCTGGAGAATTCCACTGGAGCAGACGCATTGCAGTCTCACATCACCTCACACTCGCCAGCTGCTGTCCCTGGAATGGGATCTCCAGGAGTTTTGCTGGAATTATCGCTTGGAAAATGGGAGCGAAGCCTTCCTGGTGAGCCTGAGCAGTGTCTGGCATGGGGTCTGTCCCGGGTCCTTTCACATCCCCCTTTTCTCAGTGTTGACTCATGTTCTCGAGGGCTCTTGCAAAGGGGGAACTATTCCCCCGCCTGTGACGGTAGCAGGGTTCTGGTTCTAATCTACTCTTGGCTTTGTACAGGAAATGACTAACAAAAGAGAGCCTCAGAAAAGAGACCTATGGGAAAAGAGTTTGTCTTCGTGTCAGGTTCCTCTTTCCTTTTAAAGCAACCCCAATCTCAAAATATGATCTTTGAACTGGCTGAATTTTTCTCCTCCCATTCCAGGGGTGGATCTTTAGGACCCTGCACTACAAACTTGCTGGAAAACTTCGATTTCTGCTTCAAATCTGGTTTTGCCAGTTATATACCACAAACTCAGTGATACTTGACCTTCGCCACACAGTTTCCAAGAGGATTCTACCTTGTGTGTCAAGGAGCTCGTGGAATAATAAAATCTGGGCATGAGATGGAGCACAGGCAGATGGCAGAAGGATGATTCGGGATTTCAGGAATAGAAGAAGGGGTGAATCAATGCTGCTTGTTTGGCTTTAGCCATTGGGAAGTTACAGGGCTCGTCTAAGTTGTCTTCCACACTCCCTTTGGAGTCATTCAGCACCCAGTATTAATTCCATGGAATTTCTAGAAAGCTGGAGTGAGGTGAGATGATTCCTACCCAGACTCACATGCACCTGGGAGCAGGGATATTCCTGCTGAGAACTGGTGTGTGTGAGGACCCAAGGACCAGAACTGCCTCCTCTCTTCCTTGCTGATGCTGTGTTTGTGTCCCAAACTGTGGAATCCAAATCTCACATCCTCTCACCAAGCTGACCCTTTACAGTGCAAACAGGTCATGATCCAGTATCTAAAGGGGCTCCAAGAGACAAGGGCATGGAGTGACAGGACAAGGGGCAATGGCCTTACACTGACAGAGGGTGGGTTTAGATTAGATATTGGAAAAAAATTATTCCCTGTGAGAGTGGCACTGAAACAGGTTGCCCAGAGAAGCTGTGGCTGCCCCATCAAGTCCTGTGTTTTATTAAAGAACAGAATTCCCCAGGATCTCTCATCTTCTGCTTCCCTGGGCAACATCCTGAGCATGTTCTCTAGAAATCTGGATTTCCTACACAAGATTTACAAACATCAGTTGTTTGTTTATGTGAAGGTCAGGTTTGTATATGTACAAAGGAAACCACGATGTGCAAATATTATGGCTCTGGTATAGCAGCGTGGGGAAGCTGATATCTCATCTGGCAGGAAGAGCTCAGCCTCCTGGAGGATTCCTCCTGTACTTCCCAGCCTCTATTTCTGCCTCTTCTGGGTCTCGCAGTTTGTTCCATGGGTTTCTCCACCCCCAGTACAGAATTTCTCTTTCCCACAGCTGTCATCCCCTCTTTGCCAGTCTGTCTGACCCCAGAGTGCTGGTCACCCCAGCACTTTCCTCTTTTCCCATTCCTTCCTGCCTCCCCAGTCAAACCCCCTTGGAGGTTTAAGGTTGGTCCCTTGGAGGATGAAGGTTTGGCTGCTGGATGATGGTGCCAGCAGCACTTGGTTTTCTCTCCATCCCTGTGGCACAGGAGAACACTGAGCCAGAGGGAGCTGAAAACATAATTTCTGTCCCTCACCATCATCTCCTCTGGTCTGGGGGCTTTTGAGGATCAAGGTGGTGAGAACAGGAGCGCAGATGAGACAGGACTTTCTGGGCCACATCATTTCAGCGTGATGAACTAATTGGCAGCATGAGGAGACTGTCACAACTGTGACTTTAGAAATAAGCACAGGCAGCTCATGAGTCAGAAAGGGAAGGAACTGCAGTCCCCAGTAAATTACATGAAAAACATTTATTATAATAATTTAAATATAAGTTTGAGGTGGGAACCAGCCCTGCCCCAGGAAATCTCAAGTATCCCCTTGTCCTGGGGATGCACAACTCATCCAGACAGGCAAAGGCTCTGCTCCCACTGTGCAGAGGTAGGGCTGCCTCTCTTCTAGTGCCAGTTGGCACCCACAGGGATTTAGGCAGCAGTTCCCACCACAGGAGTCTCACCCACCTCTTGGGAATCAGCCCTGTCTTCAAAGACCCTCTGTAGAGCCACTTTGACAGATCCCCTGAGCCTGGGCTTCCCATAGCTCCCAACCAGGACATAAATAATGGGGTTGATGCTGCTGTTGACAGAGGCCAGCAACAGGCAGATCTCAAAGACAAGGTTAATGTAGACAAAGAAGTTGAGGAAGATCTGGATGCTGAGTGGGACACCAAAAAGGAGGAAGAAGAACACAGTGAGGAAGATGACGGCATAGAGCCTCAGTGAGTGGTGCTGCCAAGAGCTCCGCCTGAGCTTGATGAAGATGATCACGTTGGAAACAACCATAAGAGGAGTCAAAACGCAGAAACTGAGGAAGCACAACATTCCCAGAACCACCCAGCAGTGCTTGGAGTGCCCCAGGTCACACACGAAGTACACCAGCCCAGCCAGCACGCAGGCAAGCGCCCACAGCAGGCTGCACACCACGGGGGACAGGAGCCTCGGGCGGTGGCACCGGCACCAGAAGGGCCAGAGGACGCCCACGCACCTCTCCACGCTGATGGCCGTGAGCAGGAACAGGCTGGTGCTGTACGTGAGCAGGACCATGGAGTGGAACAGCGGCAGCGCCCGTGGCACCCCCGCGCGGGAGCGGCTGAGCATGGGCATGTGGTACATGAGCAGGAAGGCCGAAGTGCAGAGCAGGAAACACGTGTCAGCCAGGGCCAGGTTCAGCAGGTAGGCACTGAAGGGGTTCCTGCGGACACGGAAGCCCAGGAGCCAGAGGATGGCCCCGTTGCCCAGCAGCCCACACAGGCAGGTGAGCAGGGTGAGGCCGCCCGTGAGCAGCTCTGGGATGTGCTCTGCAAAGCACCCAGTCCCATTGTGTCCATCCCCACAGTCCAGGCTCTCTGTGGGAGTTGGGAACACTGAAAGCCAGTCGTGGGTCGTGTGGTTGGGATGCCGGTCCATCTTCCTTGTGCTCGCCTGGGGACAGGCAAGAGATGAAGGCAAAATTAGGGACTTTAGGGTGTCCAGTACCTGCACTTTGGTAATTCCCCATCCTCCAAGGGCTTCAACATCTCCAACTCAGAGAACATCAACACTGGGAAGAGAGGAGAAGGGAAGGGAAGCAAGAAAAATAGGGACTGCAGGGAAAATTCTGGGCCCAGGGTGGCAGGAGATAGACAGGGAAGGGAAGAGAACAGGAGAAATGGAAGGGATCAAGGAAATCAAGAGAAATGGAGGGACATGGTGGCAGAAGACAGACAGAGAGCTGAAAGGGGAGTAGGGAGAGAAAGGAAAGGCATCCAGAGCCATTTGCCCTTTATGGGTAGAAAAGGGCTGAGGAGAAGAATGGGAAGAATGGAAAGATGGAGGAAGAGCAGATGTGAGCCCAGACCCGTCTCACCAGTCACGGGGGTTCCAGAGAGAGCACAGTCCTTGCACAGCCTTGGTGTCCCAGCGCTGCAGACTCCAGTCCCCTCTGCCAGTGCTGCACGTGAAACTTCACAAGGCTGCCATGCCCAAACCGTCCCAGGTGAGATCTGGCCACCAGCACCACAGTGACTCCATGCTGAGGGCCTTCAGCAGTCCATGCTGGCTCTGGCTCCCTGCCTCTCCCTCAGGAGTGACCCCTGGGTGTGAGCCAGGGCTGGGTCCTGGGTGTGAGCTGCGGTGTGGAAGTGCCAGGGCTGGGTCGTCCCTCTGAGAGCAGCGGAAGTGTCCTGCCCGAGTGCCACCCCCATGGGACGGGCATCACAGCCCCATTTGCTGGTTCCTTCAAACACTTCCTCTTTGCAAACCTGGCGTCACGTTGAGCACGGAATTTTCATCTTCCTCCTCATTTGCTTCTCCTCTGTGCCTGGTGGCAACATCCCTGAGGTGTGTTCACGGAATCCTGGAGTGGTTTGGGCTGGGAGGGACCTTAAGGACCATCCAGTTCCACCCCCTGCCATGGGCAGGGACACCTTCCACTAGCCCAGGTTGCTCCAAGCCCTGTCTAACCTGACCTTGGACACTTCCAGGGATGGGGTAGCCACAGCTTCTCTGGGCAACCTGTGCCAGGGTCTTGCCACCCTCAAGGGAAGAATTTCTTCCCATTATTCAATACAGACCCACCCTCTGGGGTGAAGCCATTCCCCCTTGTCCTGTCACTCCATATCCCTCTCCATCTCTTTCTCGATTGGTGGGAAAAGTACAGCCTGCAGCCATTAAGCAATATTACCCAAATGTTTGTGAATAATGGTAAATATTTGTTTAAAATGATGTTAAGGTGAAGAGTAAATAATGAATAGTAATTAATAAACACTACTAATAGTAATTAATAATACTAATAGTAAATCCTAAAGTGCAAGTGGTAAATAGTAAACTGTGGGTGGTAGGTAATAAACGGTACATAGTAAAGTAGGGAATAAATAGTAAACAATAGATGGTAATCAATAAATAGCAATAAGTAATAAATAGTAAATATGAAGAGCAAATAAGAAATGTGGGAGGAGTGGCCTTAAATGGAAAGATAGATTTAGATTGGATATTAGGAAGAAATTCTTCCCTGTGAGAGCCTGGCACAGATTTCTCAGAGAAGCTGTGGCTGCCCCATCCCTGGAAGCGTTCAAGGCCAGGTTCAATGGGGCTTAGAGTAACCTGATCTAGTGGAAGGTGTCCCTGCTCATGGCAGGGGGTGGAACTGCATGAACTTTAAGGTTCCTTCCAATGCAAACTATTCCAAGATTCTATGATACTATGAAAAATGACTCTACAATCCCAACACATCAAAGATCCAGCCTAACTGGATTCCCACTTCGTATGAACTTTATCAGGTTCAGCCTCAGAGAGGCTCAGCAATAACAAAAGGCACAGAAAACATTCCTGCCATCCCCAGACTAACGTCTCCATCTGCTCCACTAAACCTCCCTGGAATAAAAATGACCATCTCTTTATGAACCCCATGTACTGATTTGAAATGACAGTGATGTTTCCAGCTGGCCTCCACATTTGCAGCAGGGAATTCCCAGTCTCCAGCCAGTTGTGACGTATTTATCTCATTTCCCAGCTGAGTGGCTGAAGGGAGGTGGGTGGAAGCACATGCTGAGCTGAAAGAGGGGTTGAGGTCAGCTTGAAAAAGAGGCCATGCCAGTGTAACTCAGAATGACTCAGCCTTAAACTATTTATTTAGCCTTAAAATAAAACAAACAAACAGACAAAAATCCCTAAAAAGTACCTTGATGTCAACACACAATGATCTCTTTGGGAACAAACACGTAACTTGGAAGATATCAGCTGTCTGCACATACAGCAAGTGGCAAGACAGCTGGAGGAGTTAATTTCTGGAAGCTTAAAATACCTGAGGGATCAGTGGGTGGATTCATTCAGAAATCCTCTGGGTGCTGCTGATGCACAGTGAGATAGATAGATAGATAAAGATATAGATAGAAATAGATATATAGATATAGATATATAGATATAGATATAGATATAGATATAGATATAGATATAGATATAGATATAGATA